AACTCTGGCTAAAATTTTTGTTTTGTTTTTAAATTGTAATATAAGCTTCCTCCCACATTGCTATGTATTTTTCATAAAGATAATTTTTCATGCTGCAGAATATTCCATCACTTGTATGTTCCAATGTTTTCTTAACACTTCTCCGATATTGGGGCATTGAGGGCTCCTATTTCCATTCATTTCATCTCCTATCTCCGTTCCCCAGAGTTGTTCTTCTCGGTTCCCACCTTTGCGCAGGCTGTTTCCTTGGCTTGGAGAGGGTCCTATCTTCCCTTCTCGTTGCTGTCTTAAGTTCCCCCTTCCAGCTTTAGTTCTGGCACCTTCCCTCTTCAAGCTCCTATTGCTAGGGAAAAGCCCTGCGGAATGAGAGATGGGTTTCAGGTCATGATCTCAGGGTCGTGAGATCCAGCCCCTCACTGGGCTCCATGCTGGGCATGGAGTCTGCTTAATGTCCTCTCTCTCCTTCTCCCTCTGCCTGCCCCCCACCCCGCCCCCCCACTCATGCTCTCTCTCAAAAAATAAAAATAAATAATTGATAGCTACCATATATTATGTACTTTCCATAAATTGGGCATTATTCTAGGTAAGCACTTTACATACCCTGTCATTTATCTTCATGACAACCTTTCAGCTGGGTATTATTAATACTCTCACTTTACAAATAAGACCACTGAGGTACAAAGAGGTTACCCAATCGCCAAAGGCCACACAGCTGGTAAGTGGTAGACTTGGCACTTGAATTCAGTCTGGCATCAGAATCTGGGTGCTCAGCCCGTGGTCAATTCACTAGGGCCCTTTACCTCCCAAGTCTCCATCACTCAGTCTCATTCTGATCCACACCATTCTCAAAGTATATGCGGAGGGAGAAGGGCTGCTGAGTAATGTTCTCACTAGGAACAGTGAGCCTGTTACTCTGGCGGGGGGTGTGGTGGAGGGTGGGCTTTGTGCTCGGTCATTCTCTGAACAAGATGTGTCCAACGGCATTTCAGGAGCCAAGGCAGGCTGTAATGGAAACACCTGTGTCTCCCAGACTTCACTTATCTCGGTGTCTCCAGTGCCTAGCAGAAAACAAGCCATCACACACGGAGGAGGTATTGTGACGCAGCAACATCATAATGGCTTCAGTTTAGTTAACTGCCCCTTTCCTGCCCTATCCCAGGAAGGAGAGAGGCCTCTTGCAATGGACCATAAGAGAGTAGGGGTGGGTAGAAGAGATAAAGAGCACATTCCAGAGGTGAGTACAATTGCAAAGCTGAGTCAGAAAGGGAATGAATAGTCATTGGCTTCTAATTTGCAGAATGACAGAACCTCAGGGTTCAGGAAGATGTTAAAAATTATCTCTGCCATCTCCCCTTCCACTGCCTGGTGCCGCCTAGGAAAGCTCTGCCAAGCACATGCCTGGGACCTGCCACCGAGGTCCTTGCCAGCTCTGTATGGCCGTTAGAAAGTTGGACTCTCTGTTGACTGGAAATGCACTAATTGGGTCTAATTCTATTGGTGGGATGCTAGAGAACAGGTCACCTGCCTCTTCCACACCACAGCCCTAGAGAGATTTGAAGCAAATGATCATGTCCTCTCGGACATGAGAAAATTTTCCTTTCCAAGCTAAATACTCACAGGCGCTTTTAATTGTGTCTCTTCTCACACGGTTCCCAGGCTCTTTGTTGTGTTTGTATGCATCCATGGCTCCCCACTTTGCTTGGAGTTCTCCAAGTATGGAGCTAGACCACCAGCTCACAGCAGAGCAGAGTCATCCCTTCCCTCCTAGGAGAGCTTAAATGTCTACGATGAGTTACTGGGATCAGAAATTAGTACTCGGAGTTCAAGGGGGTTCCAGGACTTTTTGGCTGAGTTTGTTTTAGTCAGAAGGAGGCAGGGAAAAAGAAGAATTAGGTTTCTATGATTGGGAAGAGAGGGTCGCTAATATTTTACGAATACTTACTACATGACAGGTGCTGCTAAACACTTAACATGAATTATCTCATTTCATCAACTCAAAAACCCTGTAGGTGGTACTGTTATGATGCCTCTTTCACAACTGAAGAAACTGAGGCTCAGAGACGCTCAGGGTTTTCCTGGGTTAGGTGGTGTATGCTAAGATTCAGGCCAGATATTAACAGGGAGAAACAGGTGGAGATTTGGGGCTTCAACAAAGAGCAGCATCTGGCCAGAGATTATGCTTCAGAAAAGCCGGGATAACAATGAAAATGGGACTTAGGGGTGAGAATAGGACTTCTAAGGCCTCAAAAACCAAGAGGGGAAGGAAGCCATCCAAGGGTGACACAGAAGGATATGATGTACAAGGGAGTAATAATAGTAATAGCTATCATTTGTTAAATGTGTACTAAGCTCGATGCTTTACATATGTAATCTCCTTAATCCTCACAACAACTATAACTGGGAATGACTACTATGATCACTGTTACAGATGAGGAAACTGAGGCTTATCTAGGTGAAAAGACCCACTGAAGATTACACAGCTGGTAGGCGTTGGTGTCAGTTTTTAAATTCAGACTGCTGACTCCAGGCCTGTGGCCCTATACTGACTCCCAAAGGGGAACACTGTTGGCAACACTTAAGGAAAGGAACTTTCTCTCCCAAGAGATGGGAGAATCCCAGAATTTATGAAGGTACTCAGGGTGCAGGGGTGACTCCTGGCAAGAGAGGACAGAGAACCTGGTTCTGGAAGAGACAATTTTGCCAGACTCTTTACATCAGCAGTGTCAATCCTGAGGTTATCCTAACTTGATGTTTCCTCAGAGAGGCATTCCTGGAGGCCCAGGAACCTCAACAGAATAAATACCTATGACTAGATATGCTATCTCAGAAATAGAAACCTAACGGTTAGAACATCATCTGTTTTTATGCCTCTGTAGTTGCTTCTCCTTTTCTTTTCTTTTCTTTCTTTTTCTTTCTTCTTCTTTTTTTTTTAACAATTTCTTTCTTTCTCTTGGTTCAATGGTTCTCAAGCTTTAGTGGCATCAGTCACCTGAGGACTTGTTAAAACACAGATTCTCTGGACCCTCATGCCAAAGTTTCCGATTTCATTAGTCTGGGGATGAAGGTTGAGAATTTGCCCTTCTAACAAGTTCCCAGATGGTGCTGATGCAGCTGGTCTGGGGATTACATTTGAGAACAGTGGCTTTACTTTATTAGTAAAGCTACTTTTGAAAATTTCCAAATTGACTTAGCTGTAAAAAGATCAGTACAGAAAAGGCAAAGGACTTGCCCATAGGCCAGAAGCAGCGGGAGTGGGTTGGGGGTGCAGACTGAATGCCCAGCCAGGTGAGTACTGCTGCCAGAGAGCCCGGATAGGCAGGGGAAGACAGAAGTCACAGCCAGAAGAGACAGGAATAAGGGCAAGCGGAAGGCCTGAGTGAGCTGGGCAGGGAAGTCTGTCTGCCTGAAGAAATAGAGATCTGGCAAGGGCAGAAGTCAAAAGGGGCAGAGCTCTTATCCAAAGCTGCAGGCTCCTGGCTGGGCTGCAGGGAAAGAACTAGAGGAGTGAGGAGGCAAGGAGCCAGGAGTGAGCTACTGGGATGTGACCTGTGACAGTGTTCTGGCGATCACATTTCAGCAGCGACTTGCTGTCTCCAAAGCCTCCTTCTGCCTCCTCCTGTGGTTATACCTATCAGTCATAAAGTGTCCAGGGGTTGCTCTCTGAAGTAAAGTCCTTGCAGCAAGAGAACTGGGGACAGCACTAAATGCTGTTTCTTGCCCTTAATGATGTGTCCCACAGCAGAAGGCAGGGACAGGGCTAGGGCGCTCACAGTCCTGCAGTTTGACCTCTAATGTTCTGCCATCCCTAGGGGGCATTTCTCCCTCATGGGAAACTGACTCAGCTGCAGTGAGTACGCAGTGCGGAGAAGGGCCTTCATGCTTGCAGCCCTGCACTAGAGGCTGGCTGCTTGGCTGCCCATTGCTCCTCATGAAATCGGGGTGGCTTGGATAGGAGGCTCCTTTCCCTTGATACCAAGAGACGGAGCATCTCTCTGCAAGTTTGCACGCCATTACTCCTTTCGGCCGTGGGAGCAAAACTATGCACATAAGCCCTCCCTGGGCCCTGCCTTTAAGCACTGTCCACCTAGCTTGAGCCAAGTCCCCGTTTTCCCTTTTGTGCCCTTCGTCCTGTTTCTTGTACATGTCTGTCCAGTAAAAAAAGGATTTATTGAGTGCATACTAGGTGGCAGGCCCTGTGCTGCGGATACAGATCGAAATGGAGGATTGAGGCCTTTCTGTTTGGGGAAGAACATTTTCAAGCCCACCTCCCCTAGCTTTCTACAGTCTGGATGGTCCCTTCAGGCCAGACTGAGCAGGTTCTAGCTCCCCACCAGCAACTATAATTTACTGGTCATTAATTATGTACTGGGCACTTCAAATCTGTTATTTTATCCTCACAACGCTCTGCAAAGTCAGCATTATCAATCTTATTTTAAGGAAGATGAAATAGGACCAGGGAGAGTGACTTGCTCAGAATCACAGCACGATACCCACGAGGGCTCTCTGGGAAAGGTCTACTAGGCTCCACTCCCCATGTTTCTGCCACGTCCCTACAGGCCTTTCCCATGCTTCCACTGCATCCTCTACCCCAGCCCTTTCCTTTTCACCGGACAGTGGGCCTAGCCTAGCCTGGCTGCTCCTGGGCAGCCAGTGTCAGGGGCGCTTTAGATGCGTGCAGGATGGAGAGGCGGCTGATCGATCTCAAGTGTCAGACCTTTCCTTCCCCTGCCCTCCCCACGGGCCCGGCTGCTGGATGCCCAGTGATCCATTGCAAGGCCTGCAGCGATAGCGCGCGTGCTGGAGGAAAAATGATGCGAGAAGGAAGGAAAGCTTCAGTCAAGGGACCCGCGGCCCTAAGGGGCGAGCACTCCCTCGTTTCTGCCCCTCCCACCCAGCAACGGACACCCTCCGCCCCATCCCGTCCCACGGCCGCGCGCATGCGCAGGGCGCTCCGGGCGCCCTCCCTCCCGCGGGCCGCCCTTTCACCCTGGCAACCGCGGCGCGACGACGGCGCGCGCGCGGGCTGGGCGCGGACCGGGCGGGGCCGGGCGGCGCCGGTGCAGGCTGAGGCTGAGGCTGAGCCGGCGGTGGAGGAAAGCGGTGGCCGCGGGGACGGTGTTGGCGCGCCCGACTTCCGTCCGCCTCGCCGCACGATCTTTCGACGCGGTTTCGGGCCCAGCGGACTTCGTCCCTGGCCATGGACTCCCAGAAAGTAAGTGGGGGAAGGAGGCGCGGGGCCGCCGAGGTTGGGGGGAGGGTGGGCGGGGCGCCCGGGGCCGGGTGGGCGGTGGGCGTGCGGGGCTGGCCCGGCCAGGCTGGCTGCGGCGCCGGCGGAGGGCGAGGCTGTCGGGTCCCCCCACCCTCCGCTCCTTTCCCCGCGAGAGCAAAGCGGCGCCCGCCAGGCTGCGGGGACCGCGCCCGGTGACTCAAGCTGGCCTTTGGCCCTGGGCCCTGCCTCCTGAGGGGAAGAAGGGAGCTGTCCCCATTTCTCAGGCATTTTGTGCAGCGCGCTAGGCCCCCTTTGATTCTCGAGCCTCCCCGCGTGCGAGCGCGGGTGCATCCCTCCTTAGCAGAAGGCGAGGCGCACGGGGTCTCCCTGCTGACGCCGAAGCTGATGCTCGGTTCTCGACGCAGCCGTCTTTCTTGGCCCAGTACGTACTGCTTTAGGTCAGGAGCCACATCTCCGCGCCCCCCGCTCCCACCCGCCTCGTGACCCGTTCGCAAGCAGGTCTTGATGTTTAGTGTTAGTTGAACTGGGAGAGGACGCAGCAGTCCCACCCTCTTCGACTGGTTTGTTGCTAGTCACAGTTACCTTAACGCTTGGTGTGGCCTGTTGTATACTTTCCGAACAAGTTAGGGAGAGGATATACAGAACTAGTAATTTCAATTAAGGAAAAAAAATGTTTCGAGAACATAGCCAGTGTTTTGAATACAGTTAGAGTTATGAATATTCAGTCATGATCCCTGTATAGAAATCAACCACCCCTGTTCTCTTTGTTAGATGATAGTAACTGAAGTATAGTATAGGAGGCGAACACAAGTGTTATTAATAATGTAGCAGGGAAACACAAGGGCATATTCAAGAGGCCATTATTTTCTATTATTAGATGGAAAGCACTGGAAAAACTTACTAGACCATGTTCACCTCCTCAAGGAGCACTGGGGACACGGGAAAATCGTGTAGTGATGTGTTAAGCATTGACTGTTATAGTATTTTTATTTATTTATTTATTTTTTAAGATTTTGTTTATTTATTTGAGAGAGAGAATGAGATAGAGAGGGAGCATGAGAAGGGGGAGGGTCAGAGGGAGAAGCAGACCCCCCGCCGAGCAGGGAGCCCGATGCGGGACTCGATCCAGGGACTCCAGGATCATGACCTGAGCCGAAGGCAGTCGCTCAACCAACTGAGCCACCCAGGCGCCCCGTTGACTATTATAGTATTTTATTAAAGTTCATATGAATTTAATTGTATGCGTGCATCTTGAAACTCAATTGGGTATACTCAATTTTCATTTCCATGACTATTAGACATATGTAAAAAATTACATTTTGTGTATTTTGAGTAGATATATGTTTAAAACATCTCTGCCTTGGGGCGCCTGGGTGGCTCAGTCGTTGGGGCGTCTGCCTTCAGCTCGGGTCATGGTCCCAGGGTCCTGCGATCAAGCCCCGCATAGGGCACCCTGCTCGGGGAGGGGCCTGCTTCTCCGTCTCCCACTCCCCCTGCTTGTGTTCCCTCTCTCTCTGTGTCTCTCTGTCAAATAAATAAATAAAATCTTTAAAATAAATAAATAAAACATCTCTGCCTAAATTGGTAAAACATTTCACAGCTTATTTAACTTTTCAGGTAAAAGTCGTATGATAGCTGAATGGATGTTGTTAGTTCTGGGCAAGTGGAAGGGCAGAGACTTGGGTTCCATGCTGCTATTTACTAGCTCTGTGATACTGAGCAAATCACTTAACTGTGATTAATCTATTTCCTCGTTTATGCAGTGAAGTAAGAATATTTTATAGAGTTACTGTAAAAATCAGGTAAAATAATTCGTTATGAAAAAGTGTTTTAAAGTTTACAAAGACAAGGTACTAATACTCTGTGTGTTGTAAAATATAATTTTAAAGAGTATTTTAATATGGATCATCTTATTTTGCCAGGGCATGCATTATCCCTCACTTCAGTAAGGACTCAAGAGTTGGAATTTGTGGCTCCTGCAAGGTCCTATCACTAGCCGTGAGACTAAGATCTGAACTAATCTGGTCTCATTCCACATGGTGTTTTTGAGTAGCTGCAAGTACCACGAGCAGTTTCCCCAGAGGTAGCGAAGAATTAGGTGTTCTTTGTGGTAACTTTGAAAATCACCTTCTCAATGTTAGAGAATGTGTTGAACTTCATTTCATTTGTTGGTATCAAATAATATTTCTAATAAAAAACTATTTTCTTCTATAGCTTAAAACGAGAATCTGGTGTTAATGCTTATAACCAATTTATTGCTATGAATTTTAGCATCTTTTTCTCATGAATTACTGCAGAATCAATTATATACCTCAACTAATGATGAACTGTGTATTTCTTTTTAAGTAGTACACCCCTGGCATGATTTTTCTTCCTTGTTATAAAATGTTACAGTGACCGGCGCCTGGGTGGCTCAGTGGGTTAAGTGTCTACCTTTGCCTCAGGTCGTGATCCCAGAGTCCTGGGATTGAGCCCCGCATCGGGCTCCCTACTCTGCTGGAGAGTCTCCTTTGCCCTCTACCCCTCCCCCCGCTGTGCTCTTTGCTCTCTGTCATGCTCGCTCTCTCAAATAAATAGATAAAATAAAAATAAAATAAAAAGTTATAATGAAAATAGTAGCAGGGATGGTACTTTAGTCACTGTAAGGAAAATGGTAAGGTACTGCAAGTGGCAAATGGTGAGGATGGCTTGAATATACACCTATTAGTAAGGCATTGGGATGTGGGCTTTAAATTATTAAGAGGATGGCTTTGGAGCCAGGTCTCCAGTCTTACTACCAACTATGAGCTGAATGAGCTTGGGTAATTTGCTGTGTGTCTCTATTTTCCCATCTATAGAATAGAGATAACAATTGTACTTACCTCAAAGGGTTATTGTGAGGATCATGTTAATTTTTAAAAATCCTTGGTGCCTAGCATACATTAAGTACTGTTGGCTCTTGTTATGTATTTCATAATCTCAACTTCAAAATAACTTTCTCCTTTTGTTGATAATTTGTATAACTATTTTTCTAATCCAGTCTACCATTTTTAACCTTTGTCCTTAAGTTTTAAAATATGTTTTCTGTTCTTATATCTGCAATAAGTGATTTCAAATGGTGGTGTCAAAGAAGAGTTGTTAAATCCTAATTGAAAGAGGATTGGGAGTTCTGACTCATGCAGTCTGACAATAGGGGTTAAGTTAACTGGACAGTCTTACAGAAGCTTGATGGTGGCTAGTCAGCAGATGGATTAGCTTGACCAGCTGCTTTTTTGTCTGTGAAAATAACTTGGACTTCAGTGTTGTGTTAGCAACAGATGCTCTGTTTGAGTAGGGGAGGAAAACATAATTGCCTTGGGTATGTAAGGCATACTGTTGGATACAGAAAACCACAGTATTATCTCCTAGAAATAAACAGAAGGATTTTGTTTATATCGAGTTTCTGGGACACTTTTGCGAACAGGATGTGTTAGGGATAGGTGGCTTTGTTTGATACTCAAACCTTTTGATTATGTCCTTAAGTGGTTTTAAGATAAAATCCCAAAGGTTTCTGTACCTGATTAAATGCATATGTTCAAAGAAACCAATCAAACAACAGACATTTACACCTTTCTAGAATCTTGGCCCTTAGAATTTGAGTTTAAGGTTTTGCACAGGAGATCATTTGTGTTCATAGGGGTTCCTGTTTCTAGGAAAGGTACATGCTGTAGGATAATAATGGTGGAGAGGAAGGGAGAGAGGTTGCCAAGAGCATACATTGTAAATTGTTTGGTTTCTCCCACTTTTTCCTGCATATTCTTTACTTTCTACTTGGAAAGTGGTAGTGATAGGTGAGGGTTGACTATGCAAGACCGGACAAATGTAGATTGGGGAGATTGAACTGAATAGGGGGAGTTTTATTTTTTACTTTTTATTTTTTTCTTCAAGATTTTATTTATTTATTTGACAGAGAGAGACACAGCGAGAGAGGGAACCCAAGCAAGGGGAGTAGGAGAGGGAGAATCAGGCCTCCTGCGGAGCAGGGAGCCCCATGTGGGGCTCGATGCGGGGCTCGATCCCAGGACCCCTGGATCATGACCCGAGCCGAAGGCAGACGCTCAACGACTAAGCCACCCAGGCGCCCAGAATAGGGGGAGTTTTAAAGCATGACAGGCTGTAGCAAGTAGCTGTATACACGTGGCTTCCTTATCCCAGTTTCCTCCTCTACCCTGGTATTTGCTCTTCTTTTCCTTCATATTGTACCTTAGCAATTCAGAGACCTCCACCATATCCAGAAAACCAACCATTTTCATGTTCCAAAATTACTTCTTCTTCTCAGTCAAAAAAATATTTCCTAAAGAAAGGAAAGAAAAATGAAGTCAGCACCCCTAACCCCTGTGTTGTTCAAGGGCCCTTGATGAGTATTGTTCTGCATCCAGTATTGTGTTAGACTGCTTTAAACCCTCATGATAGCTCATATTCCAGTTGCACATCTATATGGAAAACCAAACTCACAGGCTAACTGACTTCTTCAGGGTTGCACACTAGCAAGTGATAGTCTGAATTTAAGCCCGGTCTTTCTTCACAGCCCAAGCTTTTTTCATTACCACCCTTCTTTCCTGAATCCTTTGTCTTTAATGGTGATATGAGTAATTAAAATTTAAGATGTTAATAGGAATGAATCCCTATAGTTTTTTTTTTTTTAAGATTTTACTTATTTCTTTGAGAGAAAGAGAGAGCGAGAACGCTCGTGCATGTGCACAGGAGCAGGGGGAGGGGCAGGGGCAGATGGAGAGGGAGAAGCAGAGCCCCTGCTGAGAAAGGAGTCTGACCTTGGGCTGGATCCTAGGACCCTGGGATCATAACCTGAGCTGAAGGCAGACGCTTAACCGACTGAGCCATCCAGGCGTCCCTATAAAGTAGTTGTTTTTTTTTTTTTTTTTAAAGAAGCTAATTAAATCTAGTGAAAATAGTTGATAGAAAGTAATAGAACATGATTTATATAAAACCCTGGAATTTGGTCT